GCACTCTAGCCCAGGCAACAGAGTGAGATTCTGTCTCAAAAAAAAAAAAAAAAAGCGTGGAAAACCTAGTTGAGGGAATAATTGGGGAAAACTTCCCTGGTATTGCTAGAGATTTAGACATTCATATACAAGAAGGTTATTGAATACCTGGAAGATTCATAGAAAATAGGACATCATCAAGGCACATAGTCATTAGTCTGGCCAAAGTCAAAGTGAAGGAGAAAATCCTATAAGCTGTGAGATAAAAGCAACAAGTAACTTTTAAAGGAAAACCCATTAGACTAATGACAGACTTCTCAGCAGAAACCTTATAAGCCAGAAGGTTTTGGGGTCCCACTTTTAGTTTTCTTAAAAATAATAATTGCCAGTCAAGAATTTTGTATCCCACAAAACTAAGTTTCATAAATGAAGGAGAAATAAAGTCTTTCCCAGACAAGAAAACACTAAGGGAATATGCTACTATTAGGCCTGCCCTACAAGGAATGTTTAAAAGTGCTCTATACATGGAACAGAACAATCAATACCCACCAGTGTAAAAACATCTGAAAGTTAAAACTCACAGCTCTTATAAAACAGTAACAAATTAGGGAAAACAAAACAACAAGATATCATTCCACAGGATGAACAAAATGGATTCCCACATATTAATACTAACACTGAATGTGAACTGTCTTAATGTTCCACTTAAAAGACATACTGGCTAAATAGATGAAAAGTCACAATTCAGCTAAATGCTGTCTCCAAGAAACATATCTAACTCACAAAGACTCACATAGACTCAAGGTAAAAGGATGGAAAAAAATATTCCATGCAAATGGAAACCAAAACAAGCAGTTATAGCCATTCTCATATCAGACAAAATTGACTTTAAATCAACAATGGTAAAAAAAGAAAAAGATGGTCATTATATAATGATAAAGGGAGCAATTCAGCAAGAAGACATAACAATCCTAAATATATATGCACCTAACACAGAATCTCCCAGATTCATAAAACAAATTCTACTAGATCTAAGCAAAGAAACAAACAGTAGCATCATAATTTCTGGGGACTTCAACACTCTACTGATAAAAGCAGATAGATAATTGAAGCAGAAAATCAACAAAGAAACACTGGACTTAAATGGGACTCTAGAACAAATGGACCTAACAGACATTTACAGAACACTCTACCCAAAAATTCAGAATATACAGTCTTCTCATCAGCACATGGGATGTTTTCCAAGATTTATCATACCTTAGGCCACAAAACACATCTCAGCAAATTCAGAAAAATTGAATTCATACCATGTATATTCTCAGACCACTGTAGAATAAAACTAGAAATAAATTCCAAGAGGTAAACTCTCAAATCCATTCAAAGTCATGGAAATTAAACAGCCTGCTGCTGAATGGTCCTTCGGTCAATGATGAAATTAAGACGGAAATCAAAACGTTCTTTGAACTGAATGACAAAGAGTACAAAAGCTTTCAAAAACCTATGGGATACAGTAAAAACAATGCTAAAGGGAAATTTTGTAGCCTGAAATACCTACATCAAAAAGACAGAAAGATCACAAATTACTAAGTTAATGTCACATCTCAAAGAATTATTAAAAGAAGAGCAAAGCAAACCCAAATCTA